GCGTGGGATACCGGGGCGGGCAGGAGAGCGACTGGGTGTCTCGTCTAGGAGAGGACCTCGTGGCCTTCAACATGGGAGACGAAAAGGAAGGGAGTACATGGATAGAGAGCGCCAAGGACCCGGAGGTGTGGTACAACAAGGTCGAGGACGGGGCGGCATGTCTCATGAGGAAATGGCACAGGCAGGAGGCGGAAGCCTCCTCGACNAGAGAGCGCCAAGGACCCGGAGGTGTGGTACAACAAGGTCGAGGACGGGGCGGCATGTCTCATGAGGAAATGGCACAGGCAGGAGGCGGAAGCGTCCGCGAAGCGCCAGCGCGCGAGGGAAGCAGAAGCAGAGAGTACGGCCATCTCAGGACCGAAGAATAAGAGAGTCGGGGAAGCGGCGGTGGGGGGGAAGAAACGGCGACCGGGCACTGCTGTAGAAGCGAGTAGGGCGGCCGAGGCAGCACTTGTGCCGAACTATGTACCCGGCTGATGTTGTTGCGCCCTGTTTCCCTCCGTGCTGTATGCAATGCTCCTTTATGTATGTCCTTTGTGTTGCCTTCGGCCTTTGTTCTGTGTTTGTTTTTTTCATGACCTCCCTGCCTACTCTGCTGTGTTGGGTACCTTGATCTCGCTTTGCTGTTGCCTTTGTTTTTGTACATCTGGCTGTCTGCCCATCTGCCGCCCCTTTGTCCTGTTTGCTCCGTTACTCCAATGCCCTGGTGCGTTGTGCCTGGTGCTGATACGTTACCCTTTGATTTTTTTTTTGGCGGGTGTGGGAAGCGTCCTCCTTTTTTTTGTTTGTTTTGTTTTGATCGGTTTCCGAGGAGTCTTTTCTCGAACGGTCGGTGCGGTACCTGTTCTTTCCTTTCTATCATTTTGTTTTCTTGTTCCGAGTGGTTTGTATCCTATTTTTGTTTTGTTCCCCCGCGGCGTCGTATGTGCGGGGTTTTGAGACCACGGGCTCCCCATTTTTTGTGGACAATAGAGCTAATGTGAGAAACAACAACAACCACAACAACAACAGTGCTTACAACTGTCTCAAGAAGTGAAAGCACCAGATTTTTTTTTCTGTCATCCGTACGCAAGGAAGTAAGCACAAGATGCCGAAAACCCTTAGCAGGATGCAGCGCACCCTTCATGCGACTCGCCGAGTATCTCACGGCGCTTCGCGCTTGGTGAAGTGAGAGCCTGGTCCGGTGAGAACCCGGCGTGCTCCGTCCCGGCTTTGTAGGGATGCGAGGTCAATGGTCTAACGACTACGGCATGCACGACTATGAGTACCCCCCCCCCCCCATTCACTAGGGGGAGCGCCGTTTCTACCTGGCAGCGGTTGTCGACGACCTCTTTCTCTCCACCCCGGAGTTCGAGTACGACGGGGTCTTGAACGAGGCCGCGCTCTCCCAGCGGTGCACGGGGGAGGACCTGAGCAACCTGCTCAGCGTGCAGCAAGCCCTCAACACCCAGTACTCGGGGTCGGACATCATAACCGAGTTCGCCTTCAACGGCGGCGGGATTGCGGAGCATGTGCGTTTGATAGGGTGAAGGTATCGATGCTTTGGGTATCATGTCACTTGATGCTCGAGTCGTCAAGTGTGCGTGTTTGCCAATTGTAGAACGACAGTCGCATATGTCAAGGTGCATTTTGCGGGTGGTCATCGCACGAAGTGAAACATGACAACACAAAGGAGGGCCACTCCAACAATAGGTGGCGGTTCTACCTAAGCCTGTTTGGAATATTCCGCAATTTACTGCTGTGCACGCAGAGATTTCTATTGTTTGCTTTTGGTGGCCTCCGACCCGCCCTATTTTCATGGAACGCCCACGCTTCAACAGCTGCTGCTCCGCCATATTCCTTGGGTGTCGACCCAAGAATAACGTGACACAGCCACAGGCATGTCTATTGACACCGCGTTTGTAGTCCCACCGTGGGATGTGTGGCCGCCGCGCTTCCCTCTAGTCGAGCTGGACCTGCTGACACCGTTCATGCGTTTGTGATTTAATGGCTGTGAGAAGAAGAGTATTACTTCACGACTGTTTCACAAGCCAAGAAATATGGAGTGAATATTCGTTTCGATTATGTCGGGAGTGTGTCTGATCTTTGGCTAAATTCATGTTTTTTTTTCAGGGTGGAGGGTGTTGTTACTCAATCTAATATGTTCTTGGCGTTATGCGTATGACCCGAACTACCAGGTGTCACAAGCGGTCGAAAACATCACGTACGTGCCCGAGTACGAGGAGACCATGGTGACCACGAAAGGCACCCGGTGGTACGAAGACGGTGAGTTGATTGATTTTGTATTGTTTCTTGAAGGTCGCTCTCTGGACCCATCAAAGACCTCTACAGGTATACCATCTGGACTGGTACACCATCTGGACTGATTAATCCCTACAGGCAATAGATGAAAGGAATATGTTTTTCTCAGGACCACCGGCGCAACAACACAGTGACACGAATCAAGAAGAGAACTATTTTTTCACAACGACGGCGACGACTTCGGGGTAAACCATGCTCATGCTTAGCCATGACAGTGTTTGATCGCCCGCCCAGAAAGGAAGGCTCAACGGCGCACGGTTTTTTCTCTCTTGCTCTATGCGTGTGTTGCTCTTGCTCTCTCCCTCTCCCACTCTACCGAACGATCAGAATCGACGAAACAGCATGTGAAATACACCGGGATCCCGAATTCTGAATAGCATGATAGCACGTCGACACTTTGTACGTAAACGGAACGTTTCCGGCGGGAATACGGACTCCGCCACCGACAATACACAGCCGCATACCTGAGAATGCAGAACTCCCGTCCCCAGCCCGAAATGCCCCATCGACCCACTCTCTCCCGTGGTTTCAGGTCAGATCAACGTGCACGACACCAACTGGCTCGCCACCAACGTCCCCCTCATGCAGCAAGACATGGCCGACGGCACCTGGGAGGCCAACGACGAGCTTCTCGCGGCGGTGATCAGCTACCTCGGCACGTCTTCCACGTTCTTCCACGGCCACCACACCCTCATCCACCTGTCCCGCGACCAGCTGCGCGAGACGGACTGCGTCACGGAGGACACGGGTACGTGTACCAAATACTACAAGTGCCACTATTATTGTAGACCTTGGTTACTTCCGAACTTGTTGCCTGGAGCAGAGCAGTCGATCGTGCCTCTACCGCTAGCAAGGAAGCAATCAGGTGTTTGAAGAAGAGTTTCTCCTTGTCCACGTACTTCCGGTGACAGGAAAATCGCTCTCATCACCGGCATCGGGAAAAGCGAGAATATCCAATAACAAATTAAGTCTCATTGCCTTCTTCCCGTCGAAAACCTCTTTTCAGGTAACGTGCAGATCGCTCTCATGACCGGCATGTGGGATAGCGACAACTATAACTGGCGCTCCATGGTATCGCCCGGCATCACGGGTCTCTTCAACGAGAACTGCCTTGACTCGGCGGCGCAGAACCTCATGGTATGCTACCCTGGCGACAACACCTACGATGGAACCGTGTCCGGCGCTACGCTCCTGGTCAACGAAGACAACCAGTTCCACTCGATCTACTCGACGGTTGCCGACAACGGTGAGGCAGGGTAGCGTATACCTGGTACTTTTTTTTTCTTAGCACGTGAGGTGACACGATCAATTGCACATGTGTATGCTTTCGGGGGAGTGATGTCGTTTCGTGGTGGTTCACATGCCGGTACGCCGTTCTACAGTAAGTAGCACACTTGCGGTTCGCGCCTTCACCGTCAGCGCCTCTTTCTCCTCCAGCCAGTGCCTGATATTGGTAGGGTTACCGCGAATATTCATGTAGCTTGAGCCGCTGTTGTCAGTGTCGAGTGGCCCTTGTCCATGCCACGTGTCCGGTGTAGGCTTCTATGTCGGTCCAGTTTGCGCTTGTTTGTCGACGCAGTTGTTGGATACCCGGCGCCAAGGGGAATGTTTTTGTCATACTTGCACCGTTCACACCACGCTAGGTGATTCTTGGTCGAGAGACCCCGGGTGCAGGAATGCAAGGTCATTGGCCCGTTGGTGTAGATGAGACTGATATGTCACGTCTTGCAGGTCATGGCGCCTGGAAGTGGCCACCACCTCCCCCTTATGCTCTCGAACTTCTCCGCAGTCACCCCGCCCGTATGTACCTCTTTGATGTGGTCCTTGCGGTACTTGAACGCACAGCCTGCTTTTTTGCGGCAATTCTGCTTCCATTTTCGTCCAAACCATCTGTCTACTACAGGCTACGATGGCATCCAGATCGTGCCCAGATTCGCGACCTACGTTTACTTCAACTGCGTCACCGGCTCCGTAAGTCACTCAAGGATGTCCAACAATATTCAGGATCTCTTAACTGCCTTCGCGCAGTAACTACTGCTATAGCTTGCATATTTTTCTCGCCAATGCACCAGGAAGGTTGATCTCGTGCTTTCTCGTGTGAGTCCGTGGTGAGCAGCCGGTCGCCCCAGATTGCGCGAGCTTGAACACGATCGTACACTTCTTGGCGGAGGTGCCGTTTCATCCCGGCCCACTTTTCCGACGTCCTTTTATGTAGATGCCACCGTGCGGTGGAAGCAAGGTTTTTCATTTCCGCGTTTGGCATCGCGGGTGACCACAGCCCATGCTGGGCACCGATTACAACCTGGGGTGGGGAGGTTGCACGCCCAAGTGTGCAGTTGACCCCGCATCTCGTCCTTCCAACCTCCTCACCCCGACCTTCAAAGGTTGTGATCGGGCTCAACCTCTCCCTCTTGCCACCTGTGGTGTGATTAGTGCCTATTGATCGTTGAGGCTTGTTCGCCTTGCCGTATGGTTTACATGCCGTCGCCAACCCCAGAGAGCGTCGGCCCGAACTCATGCGGAATATTTCCTGTGGTGGCTCGAAATCTGTTCGATAAGCACGAAACACTCCGAGGTTGTGGTTTACCTCTTGCTTTTCTTACTTCTGTCTCTCTGTTGCAATTGCAATGCTGTGTGATCGTTTACCGCGTCTATTTTTGCGCTCCATTTATTTTTCCTCCCTTTTCCCGGGCTCCTGCAGTGCCTCGTGAACGAGAACGAGTACATAAGGCGCTTCGTCTGCGGGTGCACCCCGCTCGACCCAAGCATCGCCGACTACGTGAGTTTCCTCAATGATGCCGGACGGCATTGTCGGTACAACAAGAATGAATATTCCAATCTATCCGAAAACACTGTCGTCACTTCGACATACCTTCACAGTGTAAACCGTGCAGGAAGTCACCGTCGCTCGGAGCTATGCAGACGTTCGCAATTTCGTCGTCCCCTAACGACTCTCTCCCCTCCACCCCCTTCCATCCTCAATGCCAAAGACTTGCACGAGCACGACAGACGAATGCGTCGACGACGACGACGCCACCGACATCCAGTCCTTCGGTGACATCGACGCGCTCTTCGACGCCGAGGCCTCCACCACCACGCGCTACATGCTGACTGGCCGCAGGTCGGCTGTTGGACCCTTTGTTATCGTTTCACAGAAATGCGTTGCTGGTCTGTTTCCGCTCATCGCTTCTCTACTTTTGCTTGCTTAAGGCTTCGCATGTGTGTTCTGTTTTCGTGCATTCTTGTATTCTCCGTGCCTGAAAGCAGGCGAGACAGTTGTGTTACAGTAGCATTTCCTATTGGCGGTGTGTTAACCGATACCTGTCTGTCTGGACAATTCCTGCTTGTGTCGATGCTTGGCGTCTTGTACTATGGGTGCGCCTCGTCGACGGGAGGCCTGCGATCTCTCACGTCAAGCCTTGCACAATTGGATGCTCGTTTTCCGATCGGAACTTATCTACTTCTCCGCCCCCGTATGTCGACCCTAACACCTCCACATGGAACGAACGCCCCCTCGTCGCACCTGGATCGCAACAGGGACAAATACATGTTCCACCAAGCCAACATCATCCCGGCGGGGGACGTCGGCGACGGAACACAGTCCCTGCTCGACTACTGGTACGAGCGAGTCTTGGAGGTGTTCGCCAGCTACGTCACCTTCCCGGTCAAGGTGAGTAAAGGCTGGCAGTACTGAAACGCAGGGGTTGGCAAGTCGGCAGTCCCGTAAAGGCTGCTTGGAAAGGGCGGTTCCGTATGTTCAAGGGTTGACACGCCTACCCTACCCCTTCAAAACGGAATACAGAACTAGTACTACGTTCCTTGAGGGAAAGGGGGATACATTTCGGCATGTCCAGCTTCTCCTGTTGAACAAACCAGTTTTTGTTTGTCAAGTCGGCGGTCACGTCATGAGGAGCAATGAATTCAGAACCTTGCCCACTGGTGGTTCACTCCTCCGTGCAACTGCCCGACGGACCTGAACAGAGCATCAAGTTCGACGACCTGTGCACCGAGTTTACTCTCCACGAAGCTCTGGACGACTCGAGCCCGTACGTCACCATGGCCCTCGACGCTACCGGGGCTGTTACCGGCTTAACGTACGTCTCGGGCAGCGGGGCCGGGCTCGTGCCACTTACCGTCCCAACCGCTTCCGCCGCCTCGGTAAGTGCCGAGAATCACTGTAGATCAGCTTCATGGTCGCAAAGGAATGTGGTATATTGCGCGCGGATGATTGGGATTAGGTTTATCCGGTAGTAGCCCCGCTCTCAGGAAGTTTGTCCACACAGGATATCGAGACTCATATTTATGTTCACAACAACACTTTGAAGAAAGGATTACAAACGTGGGTTTCGCGTCGGCACCATACTTTGTTCTACCCATTGTATGGTACATAGCAAGCGCTTTGGTGCAATCATTGAGTCACGGTAGGACTTGAAGACTTTCTCGAAATGAGAGTCACGAGAGGACCGGGCCGCATTATGTTTGCGTTCTCCTTTCTTTGGTGTTCCAAAGCATTTGGCGAAGCACGTGCGTCGGTGGCATCATACTTCCAAAGTGTGTTCGCTCTCGGAAGCTCGCCCGGTGCCTGTCTGCGATGATCACGTTTATTCGTTTTATTTTACCTTGCACGGCCGGCAAAACAGATCCCGACGACTGACCTTTCCATCCAAGACACAGAGACTTACGGCACCGACACCACCTACTACCTCAAGGACGACGACGCCTCCACTGTCCCCAGGGTGGGCACCAAGCCTGATGCCAGGTGAGAAAACACAGCGGCCGCAGCACACACCATGGATGGGGTTACCGCAATCTAATCGAGCCTGGGCAAATCGGAGTTCATCGTGGGGGCATGCGCCATGCAGACCAAGTTGTGTCTGTGAATCCGATAGTTTTTCCTTCTTTGGCAAGAGTTCTTCTTTGAACCACGGTAGTCGTAGAGGTTGTGGAAAGGGACGTTTTAAGAAGGAAGAGAGACGAGCTATGAGTTGTCGTTTATTTCGAAACAATGGGCCTTCGTGGGGTGATCGGCAACCCTCGCGAGCACAACGCAAGCCTAGCGGGTATGGGGCCAGTCAGTGTGTGGAAGCCATGCGTCCAAGAAACGAGGGCTCGAGCCCCGGGAGTAATGGGTCAGTCAACGAGGACGAGCGATTGGCCAGCGACTACATATCATCGAGCGTCACGGGACGGACTGCGTTCGTATCCCGCCCACCGCCCATGGCTGTTGTAGGATTTTATTATCTGTTCCTCCGACCCAGCCACCTGTTGTCCAACTCTGCCTCCACCTTGGGCGTCGTCGTTCTCGTTCTTTTGTCCTCTTGAGGGAGAACGCGACACGCAGTGGGACGGATCACACGGCGTGCCCGATGGCTCGGGTACCTGGCTGACCTGACCCCAACACCATCTCGGCACCGACAACCCCCTTAAATGCTTCCTCCTTACTGTTGGGAATGCCTGAGCTACGTCGCTTCCCCGCCCAAAACGTTCATACCTTGTTCTTCCTGCATGTTGTTCTGGCAGTGAGCTTGCCGAAGTCCCGTCGATCGTTGTCGAGACCGATGCCGGCGCCACGCTGAGCCCGGCGGAAATCGTGGAGAACGCCGAGGAGTTGGCGGAGAACCAGGAGACGAACGCCCTCGTGCCCGCAGAGAACGGCGGTCTCTTGGCCGACCAGGGCCTGGTCGACGCGGACGTTCGCCCTCGTGCCCGCAGAGAACGGCGGTCTCTTGGCCGACCAGGGCCTGGTCGACGCGGACGTCGCCGCAGGCGAAGCGATCGACGCTGCGGAGGAAGAAGGCCTCCTCTAGTTGTGTTTCAGAAGGCCGAGGAGGTGCTGCCACCACCTTTGCGCTTTGTTTCTGGAGCGTACGGGAAGAATGCCGCGTTCTCCCAGGTTTTGGTGCTCTGGTTTTTGGTCCGTGTGTGTATTCCAATTGCATTTTTCATCTTGAGTAAAGTCTTCGTGAGTAGAAGTCTGCTCTATGCCAACTGAAGAGAACACGTACGTGCACGTCTCCCGCTGTGCTAGGAAGAACGTTTGTCTCCTCCGCATGCACTCGTAGACTAGAACACGTGTACCTCTTGTGTGGGTTCCCTTTGAGCGTGATGGAGCCACTGGGTTATTTCAAAGGCAACTGAAGGCTGCGAAAGAATATGCATATGCTGTTGGTATTTTGTTCGAAGGAAACAATAGGCTCTATCTGCTACTCGGTTTCCAGAAGACGAAAGGAAGTCCGTCTTGGTGGCGTGATCTCCGCTAGATGTGTGTTCCGCCAATCACTGGGTGTTTCTATTCCGAAGCACACCAACTAGGATTGCGAGGATTGGGCGTAGTGTTTTATCCTTTTCCGGCACGCGAAGCCGTTCATGAAGGGCATGCATTTGTCTGCCCGAGAACCCACACTCACATCTCGAGGCCAGATATGATTTTGGTTGAATACATCCAACTGGTTTGGCTTGGAGACATAATCAATCGTCCGCTGACCTTCCGTGTGTGGGTCAAGTTTCGGAGGATCTTGGAGCTGGATTTGTTCGATCCGATGGTGGTGTGTAGGTGCAGTGCGCGTGATAGTATGTATCGGTGACCATGTTGTTTGATTTGGCGTCGCGAACGCACATGGATGTGTGGGTGTGTCCTTGTTGAGAGCGATTAGGGTTCGATAGTGATGTATACATATGTAAGGGTAGTTTGTACGTTGTGTCCTTGGGTATGCCATGTGTTCGTTGTTTCCGTCTCGTTTCGTGTCTCGCTCGGCCTGCCTTCCGCATGACAACTCGAGCGTTCTTGCAGTGCCTTTCTCAAATTGAAGAACAAGTTCCGTCCGTGAGCGCTTCGATGTCGAGCGGGCTCAACTCAAAAACACGTCCACTGAATACTCTAGTAGAGGTATTGTCAAGAGGTGGCTGCCCACCATAGTTTAGCACCGGGGCTATGGCCGCGGGCGATTCTTTCTCACGCCGGCCCAGATACGTTCTATTTGGCAGAGGTCATCAACCCTCCGCGCCAGGGTAACGGCAGTTAGGTAAAGGGGTAGGATTAGGTCTGTCTTTCGGTTTTGTGGAGTTTTGGAAGTGAACGTATTCTTGTGCTGAGGAGGGTCCATGAGTGTTGTAAGTGTTCGGGCTCGATGTCCCACTGGAGCTGCGGAAATGAATGGAATCAAACAGTCCGCGATTTCGTTGTCTTACCTCGCACGGCAAGGGTGGTCGTTACGCGACATTATGTAGGTAGTTTGATGATCAATATTTCTTTTCTGGATGCCCGTGTCTGCTTGATTGTTTACGAGTCGCCCGGTGTGGTTCGCTTGATTACCTTGGAACATAACGTCAATAGCGTATTTCTTGACTTGATTGTCGGCCACGTCAGATGTTCTTATCTCCCCTGACTCAGCATATCATCTAACGCCCAACCGCGGTCGTCTCGTTGGCTATCGTGTGTAATCGTTGTCAAACACCTGACTCAGGCTTGCGGATCAGAAGTTCTTTGAAGCGATAAACTCGCAAAGCGGATAGCGCTATTTTGTCCTCTCGAGTACACGCAGCAAAGGCAGCAGGAATCGGTTGCAGAGGGAACTCTCGATGTTTTTACAAGCATCGCGCAGGAAACAGCGGAGAGACAACAAATGAAAAACTTCTAGGGCTTTTCCTCGTGTGTATCGTCGGCTTTTGTGCGCGAGATACAAAGCGAACGCCATATGAATTGAGCATGGTGACGAAAACGACATTCGTCTAGTAGATGGGACGAAAGCACGCGCGGAAACGGAGGGGAACTATCTGATAGGGTTGGGTACTGGCGCTGCGCGCCAGTGAAAAGTATACTGGCTGCGTCGGCAGCCAGTAAACTGGATCCGATCAGTACAATGGTGGCGCGGCGAAGCCGCGCGGTCGCGGCTGCGCCGCGACCATCGGCCCCCCCCGGCTGGTGAGGGGGCNGAGGCGTAATACAGAGGAAATCTGCAAATATAAGAATGTACTGGAGCTGCTGACGCAGCCAGTGCATATGCACTGCCAGTGCATATGCACTGGCAGTACGTACTGGTTCAGTACCCAACCCTACTATCTGACCGTACGATAGGTATGCAACAACCGACTCACATTGCTTCGAGCATGTCTGGACATTAGTCGTGATTGAGAACATGTCGGTGTGAAAACTGACGTCCCAAGGGTATGGGATGGCAACACCACCGTCACTCCCGATGTCGTTCTATTTGTTCGTTCACGAGAGAATGAGGATTCCATTTCGTCTTGACCGATGAAGATTGAAACCTGTCCTCCAAGAGGGGTGGGGTAAGTGACAGAGGGAGCGAGAGACAGATACAGACAAAGGCAACCAGGTAGCCAAGACTACATGCATGTAATGTAGACGGAGTGATACCTCATTGGAGGTGCCTAAGGAGAAAAAGATCTGTTTTACAACAGTAGGTCAGAGCCCAAAAACAACGAAGAATAAGGCAACCTACATAGGCGGCAGGTGAATGATTTTGTCGCGGTTCAACCCGACAAGAAACGTTGGGAGTTGGGAGTTAGGAGCAAGGGGGCGATTTACCTGGGCTCAGGTCTGCAGTTTTTTTTTTTCGGTCTGCAAAAGAAGCACAGATTCTTGATGAGTCATGAGCAAACATGGAAATTGTGGTTGCTGTCTTCACATTAACAACCGTTCCAGTCTCCGATAAGTATCTTCTAATGATCGTCTGGTCCAACTGACACGCCTTTCGTGGTCACTAGCCAACTGCCCCCAAACCTGGTACACCTTTCGTAACAAAATGATACTCCCTCTGTCCGAGAATATAAGCAAGGTTTGGACAAAAAGCAATAGAACTCGTGTCTGCCGAACTCTTTTTCCGAACGGTTTTTTTTTCTGGTTCCGCCGCACTGGCGCGCAGCGCGCAGAACCGCTGCTCTTTTCACACCACCTCAACAAAGTGTGTTGCACCCCAGCACAACACGCCCGATTTCACCACCCCAACTTTGGAGCCCCGGTCAAACGCCTTCCCGTCTGCTGGCGGGACATGTCTGCTGCTGGGAGTGCCTCCCAGGGGCTCAAACGCAAGAATTTCAACGTTTCGGAGAGAGAAGAGGTGGTACGCTACCTTCTCGCCGACAGCGAAGACGGGGTTCGGC